TTTAATTAACTTTTACCCTTAAAATACTTTACTATTTTTAAATTAATTTAGTATTCATTCCGATTTTGACCAGAATAAAACTATGTTTTACAAACGTTTCCAACAAGGTTTTTATAACAGGGTTTAATAAAGATAATGCTATCTCTATATTTTACAAGGTTTTATAATTGTAATACGGTTATAATTAGTACTGATCGAAAATTTGAATGTAAAATATTAAAATAATGAATTATTTATAATATTATTAAATATAATTATTAATGGTTAGTGTGGTTTGTATTATTGCTTGGGAACGACTGTTATGAATGAATGTAACAAACAAGCTGTTTACTGCTCTTTTAGGTGTGCCCTGTGTAAGGATAGTCATTCCCCGGGGCTGATTTATTCATATATTACCACTAATAAATAATTACAAATAAATTTTGCTATTTATTGTTGGTATTCAGCATCCGGTAGTTATTTTGATAATATCTCGATGGTCAGTCTATTCGAGATCGGATTACTCTTCAGCACCTATAAACGGGAACGTCCGGGCGAGGATGGAATTATAGCGGAGTTTCTGAGAGCAGGTGGAAAACCAGTTCTTTAAGTCCTTCAGAAGCCCTTTAATTCTGTTTTACATAGTGGCAATACTCCCGAGTCGTGGAGCAGAAGCACAGATTACATAATGTTACTGCTTAAGCAAAATTGCGGTGATTTTGTTCTTTAAAAAAAGGCGAAAATGCTCTATTGAAGGACTATGATTACAGATCGATTACTCTTTTAAGTTTTTGACTTTCAGCGTTTTCCGAAATAGTTTAGTATCATAGGCCACATACATACTCTTGAACAAATTGTACAGAAGACTGAAGGGTAATCTGCTACATTGTCTTGTGTATGCGGACTATAAGAAATCCTTTGAATCAGTCGAAATATGGATGGCGCTACAATTTCAGTTTTAGCTCCTTCAGCGGCGCCGAGTTGACTGTCGTTATACCGTAGTAATGAAGTATTTGTATAGTTATGAATTATGATCTCAATCCGAGTACAGAACCAGAGTACAAAAGAATGTAAGACGGGATGATGTTATACCCTGAAGCTCATTATTTTGCATTATACGTTGCATTGGAAGACGTTTTCAAGCTACTGGACTGAAAAGAATAGGGTATCTCTCATCTTAGATTTGCCGATGTTATAGACATGATAGTAAAATCGCTGAAGAATCTCAGCGCTAGCATGTTGACGATAGGTCAATGGACCTCAATAGTATCTCCAAAATGACAGAACTTAATATGAACATAGATGAGCAAAGGTCGGCTAGGTAAGTCCAACTTAGAACTGGAGATCAATTGGCGAATCAAACTCGGCTGGGCAGTGTTCGAGAGATTACTACACATCTTCTTGTCACGTAAACCTTAACACCTAAAAACGACGGACGTTTTTAAGTGTGACAGGTACTGGTGTACGAGTATAACCGACAACGAAAGTGCAAGAGAAAGGTTCTAGAGTCGTTAGTTCGACAGCGTCTCATCGGTAAACGAAGTCTAGGCAAGCCCCACAACAGATGAAGTGACGATCTGTTCAGATATGAAGAAAGTCGATGGATGCTGGTGACTCAGGACCGTGCTTTGTGGCACTTGGGCGAGGTCTGTGTGCAGCAGTGGAATTTTGACGGGTTGTAATGAAGATGATGATGGTCCTCACGGTCCAGATGACCCATTTTGTTCGTCAAGTTAATACTGCTGATTAGAGTATGCGCGGAAAGAGATTTAATTGTAGCGGTAAAGTGATCAAAAAACTTTAAGATTTTTGATAAAAAGGAAAGTGAGTGTCTATAGCTTTATCTCAGACGTACAGGTTTCCTAGAGTCATTTCTCATCGCCGTTGAGCAAGTGGTAAATCAGTACTTAAAATACAATTAACGAGGGCGGGTATCAAACCTCGGATTATATAATATAACTAATACACTCACCAATTGCTAGTTCTAGAAAATGGTAGGACAAACAACTGATGAAACGTTTCTACTGATTCTGTGGTGTGTTGACGACGATTCTATTTAAACGAGCGCCCGCAATCAAACCAGTGAGTGGCAGTGAATTAAATCTCGTATTAACTGCGACGTTTCACTGCATTAAATGTAACGTACTGCTACCCTGGTAGCACTCTTTATGGCTTCCATGGAATGTGACCGAATGGAGGACTCGACATTTAGAAAAATGGATTCGTTTGCCAGGCCCCTATAACGCTCACAACTATCATGCGTTCTCTTGAAAATTTTAAGATTTTTTGCACGTTTGTACCTTTATAAAAATTTGTAGAAACCGTTTCTTTGTAATTTAACCGGTTACTAACTGTTATTAGCGTATTAAATGCAAAAACAAAAAATTTAAATTATGAATAAAATCGCACGAAGTTTGTCATCAACCTTAATCCATCTACCGTCTATCACAAAAACACAGAAACACTGTGCCCGGGATGGAAAATTGCCGTTGTCACTGTTATCGCGTACCGCATGAGAATGAGAGACCCTTTTGCGATTTAATCTGCTCAAAGCTTCGACGTACCGCTGCGCTCCTGGTAGTTTTTTTTTACTGTATATCGCCGCTACTGTTGACAATTCTGTTACTAACAAACCTATTTTTGTTTCTCGCTAATTGGGTTTTTTAACATTCTACTTGAATTTCACTTATACCATAAGTTATATTCAAATAAATACGTATTCAATAACAATTCGCTAGCGTCCCTTTTAACAAAATTATTTCTTTCTTTTCTAACTATTATTGTCTTTTGTATTATTTGATTATTTCTATCCAAAACACCGCTTAGCTTTTGTTCTGAGTTTTCCAAGTTATTTCATTTTAATAGTACTTACTACTAGTATTACTCCAGCCTGACATTATTTTGCACAGATGTGACATAGTTGTTATGAATGTGATATGAAGCTTGAACAGTAAAAATATGTAAATATTTCTATAGCATGGTAGCGCAGTGGCTAAGCCTTTGACTGCGATGCTGTGGGCGTGAGTTCGATTTCCATACGGAATAAGTTTGATGTTTGTCAAAATGCATTGTGTGTTGGTAAATCGTCACCACGTTACAAAAGAAACAAATGTAGTAATAACGGGCTCATAAAAAGATATTTGATATTAAGTTTTGACCTTAAAAATGTACATCATCATCATCATCATCATCATTTCAGCTCTTCACAAGTCCACTGCTGAACATAGGCCTCAACCAAGTAATGCCACAAAGCACGGTCCTGAGCCACCTGCATCAAATGCAAATGTACACTACATTATAATATTATGATATTCACTTTACTAATGTAATAAACTTACTTTTTGACAAAGAATCAGTCAAATGTTATTTATACTACGTTTGTTTGTCGATTTGGCTTCAAATTTCTCTTTGTTATAACTTTATATTTAGCATCTCAATCTAAAACCTATATTGGACACTTGATCTAAGGCATTTGATATTATTTGAGTGTGGTTATAATCATATAGATAAGTAAATGTTTATTTATTATATAACAATAATATTGTTTCGATAAAAAGTAAATTATTAAAAATATATTAAGTAGATATTTTTTATTAAGATACATTGGCATATGCACGAAATACTATATAAAATGGATACTATGCGAAATACATTGTATCAAAATATTATTCTCAGTTCGATGTACATTTTTACCACGTATTCAGTGGAACTTAATTTTGTTCGCAAATCGCCCCATTTCTATTCCGAATAAATAAAAATGGCAGTGCGTGCCTAGCGCCATTCCGAACAAACAATGTATCTGTTCATTGAAAAGTATTGTGCAAATAGGGGTGCAATGGAACTGGGCAAATGCGCCCTCGACAAAAAGTAGCCTCTTTTCGAAAATGAAAACACTGCAAGCGCATTTCGAACGGGACTGACCTACGCAACGTGCCCTCTAGTGATGTACCTTCGATTCATTCAGAATTTTATATTTATGTTTATTTTCGCTCGTTGCCGCTTCTTTAGGAGCGTTTTTATGCATCTAGATAATAACAGTTGTTGCTTTGATGTGGTGTAAGAATTCCCGTCATAGGACTTGATTAGAATAGAAAATTGTTTTTCGTTTTATATTAGGTTTTGTGTTACGAGAATCATGATGTCCAAATATTAAGTAGTTAATTTAAGGTTAAATTAATGTGTACATATTATTAACCATTAATGTTACTATTACAGCCTCTATAGATTGCCATATGGCAGCCGCAATTTTTTTATAACACATATAATATAGGTGCTGCTGCACAGCTTTCGTTTTATTTACCTTTCATTATAACCACGGGAGCCGTGGTAGCTCAGATGGTTAGCGCTCGCTGTAAATTTCACATACACGAGCAAACTGAGATCGATCCCCACCGGCACCAATGAAATTGTTAATTGCAATTTTAAGTGCTGATTTACCACGTGCTCGGCGATGAAGGAAAACATCGTGATGAAACCTGTGTGTCTTAGAAATAAGAAAAAAAATATTTCGGAGACATGTGAAGTTCACCAACACGTATTTGGGGCAGCGTGGCGAACATTTTCTTGCCCCAAAAACCCTCTCAGGAATGAGAGGAGGCTTGTGCCCAGGAGTGGGACGCATATAGGCTGTCACTTTAACACTGTTTAACTTAACTATAACCACGGGATGATATCGGGTTGTGGATTTTCTAACGTCTTTACGACACGGTATTTACATACTGTTTTAATTTTTTTAAATATATTCTAAGCCATTTAGTGACAACTATCGTTTTCGTTATTTGTGATTTGCCGCGGCTTAGAATATTGAGTTCTTTAAAATAACTTTACAAGCGAAACTACATAAAAGACTTCATTATAAATGGATGCACTATGAAAGATTAAACGAGAAACTTCTTACATTTATAGAAATAAAAAAAATTGCCAAAGACAATGGGGTCGTGGAATTAAAAATATAAAAACACTTATTGTAATTATTACCAAAGAGAAGACTTACAAGTGAGATCACCAGCAACATTTTTAAGATGGCTGCTAAAAGGAAAGCGGGTGCACTGCTCCAACACGTTCTTCCAAAGGTAATGTTTATTACTTATTATTTTACTATTGATAAACTTTGTACTTTTTTATATAAGCAAAATAAATTAGTAAAAATGTGTCGTAATTATGTTAGCATTAAAAAATATTTTGTTATTCTTTAGGAATTGATTACTTTTCGTTTTTTTTTATCATAATGATAATCTAAAAATAAATTAAAATATGAATAGAATTCCGTGCCTTGAAAAAATTATATAATATGGGAAATTAATTTTGGTATTGTTCGGATATCCCTTAGCTGTGATGATCAAACGGTTTATTGGGCACTGAGTTAATAGCTGTCGTTTGTAATACGGTTGAATATCGTATGTTCTAAGGCTAGCAGACGCCGCCGCATCGAAATTGGCGCCAAAGTCAGTTTTCCCGCCACGGGCGGCTCGCCTTGCAAAATGGCGGAGTCTCAAATGACACGCGGCTAAAGGCGACAGATAAAAATGGATCTGCCTGCATACTATATTTGAATAATTCTCTTATATGTACGTTTTAATTCGTTTTTTGTTTAATCATGAAGGGAATACTGAATTCAATGATATCCACAGAAAGTTAATAAAAAATAATGTGACTTTTAATATTATGTGTCCTTAATACTCATTTTGTGTTGTGAATCCGGGAAACTTTCTCTACAATTTTCTAATATTAAAGTAATATTATCAAAAGTCATCCTCGTCACTATATCACAAAATACTTCTGTCTTGGGACAGTGGCGAAGCTAGAGCTCCAAGCTAGGGCAAGCCCAAGATATAAATTGATAAAAATATAGATTGTTGTTTTTAGCAGTTTTATAAAAATAACAATCTTGATCTGTCTCCACGCTTCAGTTTCATATTCAGTGCTGTCAAGGACGTGTTTAACAAAGCATACAGAAGGCATACCACTGCTAGATAGATTGTATTACATAACAGGAATTGCATAGCTTCGGTGGCTTTGAAGAACGTCGTTTGGGTTTGTTTAAGCCAAAGAAAAAAAATATTTACATCCAATACAATACATCAACAAAAGTAAAACACGAACAAAGTACAAACAAACTATGTACAAAATTAAAAAAAATTATTTATATTCTAATAGATAAGAGATAAGATAAGATAAGTGGAATCGTCTCGCTTTCTTATGGAAAGATTTAATTACGTCCACGTAAAATGTTGGTGAACGTTTTAATTGTACCAATAACTGTTTTTAATTGCGATAATTGATATGTCTGAAATACACTCTTAACCTTGTGTATTATCTCAACAAAGTTTAAAGATTTCCTCTCCGATTATCACTTTAACACACTTCAATTCATCACAAGGAACACTATTATCCTCCATTTTCATTAAAAATCTTTAAGAAAGCATAAATTTTGAACTCGTAATATTTAATCGCTTAAGATAAGCACACAGAGTAAATAAACATTGAAACGTATTGCCCGCGCGCCTCCGCTTTTAACAAATTTATTTCCAAAAGCCTGGCTTTAAATCTCTATACTAATTGCTATATACACAATCGTAGTTATATTTCATTATAGAATATTTTGCCATAGGTTTGAAAGAGAGCGATCGTCTTCTCGAAAGCCCCGTAAAAAGCCCACGCGAGCGAGGGAGACAACTATTAGCTCTATTAAAACTCATTTTTTATGACAGCAGCAGTATCGCTAAGGCAATACGAGGTCATCGGTCGACATGTGTCGAACAGTGGAGTGCGCGGGAAATTTGAAATAACTTGAAACATTTTACGAGTTATTTTATTAGTTGATATTATTGATTGATTCAGGTTTAATAAGGCAAGCCCGGCTTTTCGGCTTTAATCGGCTTCGCCACTGTCCTGGGATTGTCAGAGAATATGCGGTAGATTAATTTAAAGTAACAAACTACGATAGTTGTACATTTACTTATACCCACTAAAGCATGGTCGTGATCATCTCTTTTCCACGACGTACTTATCATCCATGTTTGCAACGCAATCTTTATCTCAATTTGTAGATGTTTTCCATTAACTGGGCTTTAGTTGTAAAAGCCTGACGTTGCCCCATGAATGAATTATTAACTTTGTTATCTTAAATAACAAAGTGAGGAATTACAGTAGTAGATAATTTGTGAGCTGAAATTATAATTCCAAATTACTATCGTGTATTGTATATTATATTTCACATACCGTATTCTTGATATTAAATAGTTTAATCAAGGAAAAGTTATGATAAAATCGCATCCACACTAATCCACGCCTAGTGACCAATGAGGCGGCATGCGACCTTGCATGCACGTACCCTGTACTTGTACCTAAACCTAGTTAGACTTACCTATTGTAAGGCTATAAGTAGAGATCTGTTATATAACGCAGCGTGGATACTAAGTTTGAGTTGGTTTGCAAATTCATGGCCATTATAGATTTGTTTTGGATTTTTATAGTTTATATAACGTTAATTCTATAGTAGGTATAACAGTATTTTTTATATATGGTACAAAACAACCGAAATCAAGTCATATCATATATATATATATATATTTATATATATATATATATATATATATATATATATATATATATATATATATATATAAAGTATGAAAATAGAAGTAGGTACCTACACCATCACCTTTAATCGTTATACGCGTCTTCTGAGTCAGAATAAATGTTATAATGAAATTTTCAGAAGTGTTGGGGCCATGTTGCAACTGTATTATGGTTGTGGCACGAATTGGTCGACTCGACTGGGGAGGGCCCACGCTCTCACGAAATACTAGCTTAAAATAGCAGATCAATGCAGTTTTGTTTTGTATAATGAGTGTAGAGAACCGGAGACCCTTTATACTTGAGGCATTTGATCTTAATCGTCAGGTTTGATCGAGAATGGATGTAGATGTCTATGGGCCACAGCCTTCACTTATAATCAGGAGGACTGTGTGCTCCCTTGTCACTTATATTCTATAAAAAAATCGTAACATTAGAGAGATGGGATTGTAACTAGGTATCAAAAATCACCATTACTAATTCTAAGCTGTCCAGACCGATGACGGAAAGCAGCATGTGAAATGGAAAAGTTATTATGACGTAAATGATGAAATAATTGTCATAGGCTGTGAGACTTCGGAGGATGCCGTGTAGAGATGGCCTTAGAGAATCCACTCTCTTGTGTCACCCGTGAGTGCTATGAGCGACGACAGAACAAAATAAAACAGATGGGCAGCACCTTCCTGATAACAATTTAAAATAATGAAAGCTGCGGTTGCCAATGCCAAACCGCCTGTAAAGCGAGACAACTTGACAAATATCGCCTTTATGAGGCAGTCTATTGGGGAGGATTATGTTCAGCTGGGAGCTGTTGATAGACTGTCTTTTTTAATTTTGATAAATAAGCGAAGTGCTTAATTTTTTTTGAACGTTACCATCCCCCCACAATAGGATTTTCTCCTGTATCGTGGAGGTAGATTACATAAATTGCACAAAAACAAACATCCAGACCCTAATCCGGAAATACTTGTTCCGTGCGTGATTAGAACCCGCGGGCCCAGCGCAGCATCTCATTGCTAAGCCACTGCGCTACGAAGCAGTCATAAATATATGTCCTCAATGTACGGTGTCGCCTTGTAATCGCCTAGCTGCCTGACGAGCGAGGTGATTACAGCGATTCTTCCATCTTGGTCCTGTTGAACACCAAAACTGTGGAATGTTGAGTGATAGTAGAATGTGTCTACGTATTAATTAGTTAAGTATTGAATTTAATCTTGAAATTGGATTGCTACGTGAACATGAACTTACTATCTCCAGATATTAGATGTTGCATTTACAAGATTACATTTGGGTAACGGCCAAGATAATTCACCAAATTTTAAAAAAAAATCCAAAATCTTCGATGATGTTGGTCGTGAATTGCGAATTCCGTGTTCTAAAGTTTCCGAACGATTAGGAACACAGCAGCATCAATCTGCTAGTTCACGCTGGTATTCTGTGAGAGCGTAGTCTTTACCGGCGAGCAAACCCATTCGTCCTGCAACCAAAATATATCTGCAGCGTAGCTCTACTACTGTCTGGGAGCAAGTGTGAGTAATATGACATTTTGTTATTTGTAACTATTTTTTTTGTATGGCGTATGAAACCCGCTAACACATATTAGCAGCGCGGCGTACTAATTGATCCATTACCCTCTCGGGGAGGTCTTTGCCCAGCAGTGGGACGTATTAGACTATAACTTTACTTTACTTATGATAATTCTTGTTCTTTATCGGCCTTTAAAAGTCCATTGCTGGCTGCCTCTTCCGAATCGAACTGCAGTAACGGACATCCCTTCCTGTGACATGCCGCCCATCCTTTGACACTACCGCCCATCTTTTGATACTGCCGTCTTCTCCCCAATTCTATGACACTGCCACCCATCCTTTGACACTGCCGCCGATCCTTTGACACTGTCGCCCAGCCTTTAACAGTTCCGCTCATCCTTTGACAGTGCGGCTCATCCTTTGACACTGCTGCCCATCCTTTGACACTGCCGCCCATCCTTTGTCTGCCGCCATTGCGCCCTTGCCGCTGCCGCCCTCCTTTGACACTGCCGGACACTGCCGCCCATCCTTTGACACTGCTGTCCATCCTTTGACAGTGTCGCTCATCCTTCGACACTGCCGCCCATCCTTTGATACCGCCGCCCATCCTTTGAAAGTGCCGCCCCGGCTTTGACACTGCCGCTCATCATTTGACATTGTCGCAATGGGTCTGGTCCATTACTCCACTACTAGCCGCTACTATAATATAACCTCTTAACTACTACAAGCCTCTTAATTCGTAGAGAGGTTTACTTGGTAGGCGGATTTTACATCGGACATACGGACAATTACATCGGCGTTAGTTTTAATCGACTTCAAAAAAGAGCAGGTACTCAATTCGACTCTGTGTTTTTTATGTGTGTTAGAACTTTTTTCTGGGTGAACCATTTTTGGTGATTCTTTTTATTTGATAGCTGGTACTTCTCGTGTGGTCGGATATAATTTTGATCAAGTTCTCACCAGTAGTTTTTGAGTTATCCTTAATATTGCGTATTTAATTGACTTCGAATACGTTGATGATGTTCTCATTTTAATTATATTGAAGTCGGTTGTACAACATTTTTAATTTTACCGCTTGTTGCCTTTGAGTTTGGTGCTGTGATTCGTATTTTTGCAGTTGCTACGCTGAGCAAACCAGCTCTTAGAAGGGAGAGGTAGTTTAGTTTAGAGTGGCTGTGTTTTGCTGAGTATAATTTTGATGGTTATTACACTGTTTCACCCATAATTCATTTACTTTTACATTATACTACTTATCACCCTTAGAAATTGATTTTATTTTTTCGCCTTTGGGATCACGATATAAAAGAGATTTTTTATAACTTTCTGATACCTATAGTAAAATGTTACAAATCTATGAATATCAATACCACTTTTTATAGGCTAAGAGCTAAGGTTATTTTTGCATTTTACATTTTAACGATTCGTAAAAAAAAAGATAAATATAGTACAGATGTATTTCATTACACGACGCAACCTACAGACCCTCACTTGCCTTTGCGCCCGGCAACGGTAACCTCGCATTATACTGATTTAGAAACGCAGTAGAAATAGCATAAAAATTAGCCTTAATTCGCTTCGAACTGCACTGCACCAACCTATTTTATTAATGAGAGTATTCGGAGCTAGCGAATCAATTCGAATACGAGTACTTGGTAGTACTAAAATTACTTGCAATTTTTTGCCGATATCATTTATTAAAAGGCTAAATCATTGATATAACTATCATATAGACAAACATTTTGCAGGTGTGGCAAGACTACTTTTATGCCTTGGAGTCCATCTAAGTAATCACTTCTAACATACCTATTTCTGCCACCAGAGGGCAGTGCTTGCATTGCTGTGTTTTGGCCCAAAGGGATAGAGATAGTAAGTCACTATAATTACAGGTTATGAGGTATTTCATCTTTGTTCTCAGAGGTTTTTTTTTATAGGATGGGGTGACAATCGAGCACTCAGTCCACCTGATGGTAAGTGGTTGCTGCGGCCCATAGACATCTACATCTATCCTCGATTACGAATCATAATGCAGATGCGTTGTCATCCGTGAGAATTAAGATGGAATGTTTCGTTTCCTTTAAAAAATGGTCTCCGGATCTCTACACTCACCATACAAAACACAGCAGCATTAAGCTGCTATTTTACGTTGGTATTCTGTGAGAGCGTGGTCCTGCCCCGGCGACAACGCATCATTAGCCTATTTTGTTCAACCATTTACTATCAGGTGAACTGTGTTTTTGTTTATTACTTGAGTTTTATTTAAAAAGGCGATAGTTCTAGCCGTGTTAGATATTTGTTGAAACATTTTTATTTTATTATGAATAAAATTATTTGCTGTTAGATATCGCAGTTTATTTCTTCTGATGTTGCGCTTAGACGCTAAACACGTATCGTAAGTTCTATTTTACTAATGAGGTATCTGTGGCACTGGTGGTAGTGTTGTTGGGTTTAGAAGTTTTGTTGGTGGGGGGTGCTTTCCAAACTTAGACCCTTTTTACTGACAAGTTATATTAAAAATTTTGTACAATCGACTTCAATATAAATAAAATGAGAACATTATCAATGTAGTCGAAGTCAATTAAATACGGATTATCAAAACTACTGGTAAGATCTTGATCAAATTTATATGGGACCTCATGAGAAGCACCAGCTTTCAAATAAAAAAAATTATCATAACCTATTCACCTAAAAAAAAATCCTCTTTTTTGAGGTCGGTTAAAAAAACGAGGCATTCTATCTTAATCCTTAGGACTGACAACGAATCTGCGTTTTGATTTTTAATTGAGGATGAATGTACATGTATATGAGCCACAACATTCACTTACTTGTACAGGTGTACAGGTGGACTGTGTGGTCGTTTGTTAGCCTTATTGTATATAAAAAACAAACTATATAATATTCTATTTCGTTTTTAAAGCAGACCTTAGCTAGTTATTTTTTACATATGTAATTCCGCAAAGTAACACTGATTCTTAAATTAACTTAAGAGAATCTGACACTTAGGTGTCAGCCAAATCTAATCATCCCAAAAATATGTTCATGGCACTGCCTTTAGACTTACGAAATCAAGGGATCGGGGTTATCCTCGTGAACATATTTTTTGAGGTTAGCCTCGTTCCCTTGATTTCGTAAGTCTAAAGGCAATGCCATGAACATATTTTGGGGAAAGGTTAGATTTTAAATACCCATATCAGTTATTACAATGCGTCTAATTCGATGAATTATACAAATGAATTATTCTTTGAAGTTTCTTCTAAAATTTTCAACTTTAATTTAAATTAACTTAGTTGCTGCATATCAGTGTTAATATAAATCTATATGATATATAAAGGAAATACCCCTGACTCACTCACTCATCTCCGAAAAATTTCGAGATCTCCAAAACTATACGCTCGGTTGCCTTGAAATTTGGCATATATCCTCCTTTCTTGACGTATACACCCAAAACAAAAGAGTTTTGTAAAATTAAACCCCTAAAGGGGTAAAACATGGTATTTATTACAATTTGTATCTTAATAATGCCATAAAGTGCGACAGTTGCAACTCGTCGATCATAATATGCAAACGTTAGAATTTTATTGGGCGTTGCTGACATTTTCGTATCGCAAAATAACTATTCATGAGGAACTCTCGCTTGCGTCATCCTGCTAGAATGTAGTGTGTCGAGCAAAGTACGCAATTCTAAAGGCCTGTGATGGTTTAAGTTCAGTAGTGACGATGCTTCAAAAGGGGGTGCATTTTTGATATCAACTGTGCGCTTCTACAAGGCTAAAGATGCGCATAGATGAGTTATGTTGGCGCGCTTGAGTTCTTTTCCATTCACTACAAAACTTTAAGCTCATAATTAAAGAGAATGAGTTATAAAATTATTTTGCAATTAGGGGTTCATTCGTTCATTAATCCATTTCTATCAGCCCATCGAAAGTCCACGGCTGGACGTAGGCCACCTCCATAAATTGCTTCATAGGGAATACTAGTATTTGCCCTATGTGCCACGTTTTGCAAGCGAGTTGGTAACCGCAGTTTTAACTATTATTGAGTTGTTATCGTGAAGATTCTACTGTCGCTTCTTATGAGATTCACGTCATGATTTAGGGTATAAAAAAATAGCGGAGTCTCTTACTCCGTATATACTTAGTTTTATACTTCGTATATATTAAATTTTTATACTCCGTATATATTTATTTTTTATACTCCGTATATATTTATTGAACACATTCGTCCTCATCCTAAATGTTTACAATGTCAGAACATGTCGGTTCTAGCCTTGTATAATCTTTTAACTAATTTATTGACTCAGCATTAGAAAGTACACGTGACTAGTACGCAGAAGTCATGTATATTTTTTGAAAATTTTATTTGCTACACATTCTGAAAACACACAGTGTAAGAACACTATGATTGCGTGCTGTCCTTGTATACTTTCAATATACGCAATATATATTTTTTTATATATAATATGGGTGACAAACGAGCACACCGAGTGGAACGAGTTTATCTGATGGTCAGTGGATGCTGTGGCCCATATAATCAAAATGCAGATGCATTGTCAACCCAGTGGACTAAAATAGAATGCTTCATTTCCAGGAAAAAGGGTCTCCACTTTCAGATGGACTGTAAGTTTTGTTTAAGAAAAAAGTGATAAGCCTAGATATGTTAAATAATTGTGGATACTTTTTAAATTAATTTTGAATAAAATTATTTGGCGTTAGATATCGTAGTTTATTTCTTCTGAGGACGTTTCGCTTAAAAGCGAAACACGTATCGTAAATTCTACGTTTTACGGATGAGGTACCTGAGGTAAGTATGGTAGTCGTATTGGGCGTAGTGTTTTTGGGTTTAGAGGTGTCAGTGATGTGCGCGTAATTGTTTTTTACAATCACTACACGAAACACAACAGTATAAAGCTGGTATCTAACACTGCTATTCTGTGAGAGCGTGGTCCTTCCCCGTTCGAGTCGACCTGTTCATGCTGCAACAATAATATATCTGCAGCGTGACTTTACCACGTATAATTAATCAAATAGCTGTGTTTTACGCGTTAAAACAATATTGCTTTACCTTTTTCTTTGTGGACTTGAACATTGTTAAGCAGTAAGTATTTTATTATTTCTAAATCTATATGCCCTAATGTTGTTATAAATCATTAACACTAGTATCTAAAGGCTGAAATTTGATACTCGAATTGAGGCTTTAATATATATACAATATACCTTCACTTAGTTTACTTGAAGCTAGTAACTCCTTATCGTAGGTAACTTTTTCACATGTATAATGTGACGCGTACAGAAAACCCGTTTTACAGGTAATGACGCATTCCATTTTAGCCTACAAGACTAACAATTTATCTGAATTTTGTCTTTTTATCAGGAATATATTTAGTTGTTTAAGGGCGTCAGCATCCACTTAGGTACCATAAGGTGAATTGTGAGGTTGTTTGACACCCTCACGTAATATAAAAACATATATGTTGTATAGATATGTCTTGTACATGTGGGTGACTATTTCCTTCATTGAAAAGCACGTGAAGGAGAAGGGGATCGAACTTAGGTTACTCGCACACAATACATTTAAGCACTGCTTTGAGCAACGTCGCTAATGCGAGAATTA